CCTTCCCCCACTACCAAAAAAATGCCCCCCCTCATACACACAAACCCAACGCACACAGCTACAATCAGCTTTAGGTACCTCTGGAGGAGAAACCCTGGGTGTACACGTGGCAAACACCAGCACCATAGATAGCCTCCACCTACACCTGTAGTGACATCATTTGTTCAGCATCAGGGAACCAGTGATGCCCAGGATTCATCGTAGAAGGAACCTTTGAAATAGAAAGAAGACTGTCCCTGTGAACAAATGGCTGCATACCAATCTGCATGTCCTCAGTAGGTCAGATAAATGTACAGTAAAACCAGCCAGGGTGGCTGGAACCTCACCAGGTACCCCACAGCCCCCGGTGTTCCCTGACACAAAGGGGAACTGTCGGCATCCTCGACTTCAGCTGAATCCAGAAGGCCTGTAACAGCACCATCAACATGAAATACCAGGTCCCCAGAGCTCCCTGGGATCTCTGAACTGGCCAGCTCTGTGGTAGATGTCACCTGTGTCCCACTGACAGTACTAAGTTGCTTGTGAAAATACAGTCCAGGCTTTCAAGTCACTTATAGGGTAAAATTTCCAGAAGTTCTTATCTCATAATTTCCTCTTCATTTTAAGTGTTGAGCATTTCCCAAGATCAGGCTGAAGTTTGGAGAGCACTTGCATCCTTTCTCTTCTACACTGACTAACATGGTCTTTGAGCTCAGAGTGTTCATCACCCTGGCAAGCCAGACCAGGCAGTCAACTAGAACAGAAACACTTCAGTAGGCCTAAGCTCTGACAGCCTTGGCCCTTGATCTCACACTAAAACAACCATTAAGTACTGTTCTTTAGTATTAATCAGCACTTGAAGTTAGTGATGCAGTAATTAAATAAATTAATTTCTTTCTGATTCTCTGTCATCTAGGATGTGAAGTTGTACCAGATGTAAATGTTGCAGCAAAGAAGTTTGGAATCAAATTACTAATTCCTGTTGCTGATGGCATGAATGAAGTATATTTAAGATGTGATAACGTGAGTAATAAGACAAAGGAAAGTCTGTATTCCAGATTTATTGGCAGATTGTCTAGCAGACCCATTGCTCTGTTCTAGGATTTGTATAGAAAAATAAGGATCCTGCAGACAGTTTATTATCTACATGTTTAGTAAAACTTAAGAATGATGTGGTGGTCCAACAAATACTTTATGGTTGAGGGGACAAAAGGACAATCATTCTGTGGTTTATGGTCAGTTTCCAAGTAAAGCTACTGGAAAGAAAAAAAAAAAGACCAAACCATCAAAAAAGCAAAAAGAGGTTACAATATTTTGTTTTGGTGTTTTCAGAGGACTGAGGTTTGGGTTTTGTTCTCTTCCTTTTTCTTAATCAGAACTCTCCCCATTCAGATGAGGGCAGTGTGATAAGGAATTTACATTAGTTTTCAATTTCAGTTTATTTCATTTGTATCAAAATGTATCAATCCAAATTGTGTAAAAACATCCACTAGGTGGAAAATAGTCATGCAAGAAAATTTCCAAAAGAATCTATTCCAAAGTACTGGATTTCTGTGAAAATTTTAAACCTTAACTGTTCCGCAAAGGCAGTCCTGCAGGTGGAAACAGCCCCGTCAGGGAAGAACGACAGTGTTATGGTACCTACACCTCCACGCAAATTAAGTGGAGTAACTCCAGAGTGGGTTTTGTTGTGTAGTGAAAGATGTGTGAGCAGTAAATGTTCAAAAATAGCAAACAACTGTCTCTGTTGCAGGAGAATCAATACGCCCGGTGGATGGCTGCTTGCGTCTTAGCCTCAAAAGGCAAAACAATGGCTGATAGCTCTTATCATCCTGAGGTCCACAAGATCCTTTCATTTCTCAAGATGAAGAACTGGACCATGTCTTCCCAGGCTGTCTCTGATCCAGAAAGCGTAGATATGAAACCAGAATGCTTTGTCTCACCACGTTATACCAAAAAATACAAGTCCAAGCAGGTATCCTGAGCATGGCTTGGTGGTTGGGGACGGGTGGTTCCAGTGATTGCTTAGGAGCGAGGCTGGATGGAAGCAGCAATTGGGGACCATACAGTAGAATCATCTTGCAATACTCATTTGTCCCTTTGATATTTAGCGAGAGGCCTTTAAAATGAACACAGGGACAGGATTCTTGGCACTTCTTCCAATTACTCCTTCTACATCCACATCACCTCCTAAATCACTCATCATATTCTCCTCCTGAGAAAGTCTCTTCAGAGTAAGAAAGGGTTTTAAGAACAGGAAGTTGTTGTCTAAATCTTAAATAACACCCCCTTGGCCTGGGTGCCTCTCCTTCCTCTCCACCTAATTTCTTGTCCACTGCTCTTGCTGCAAAAGAGTTCAGCCCACCCATCCATAATGGGTTTAAGCTGGAAGAGAGCAGGTTTAGATTAGATATGAGGAAGAAATTCTTCACTGTGAGGGTGGTGAGACACTGGAACAGGTTGCCCAGAGAAGCTGTGGATGCCCCCGCCTGGAAATGTTCAAGGCCAGGTTAGATGAGGCTTTGAGCAACCTGGTCTAGTGGAAGGTGTCCCTGCTTATGGCAGTGGGGTTGGAACTGGATGATCTTTAAGGTCTCTTCCAACCCAAACCATTCTGTGATTCTGTGATCCTCAGGACACATCTGGAGCTAGACCTAGTGCAGCACAAACCCAGACACCGAGACCTTCCTGTGCTGTTCTGCCCTTGTGGCTCAGGATCTGTCCCCAAGTGTTCTCCGCGATACCTCTGCATGAACAGTGACCACTCTGAACGTGTCACCAGAGCTAACCACGTTTGATTTAGTGAAAGCACGGATGTTTTTGTTCTCCAGTCAACTGAAACCTTTCTCTTCCTGTGTTTCCCAGCTGACTGCTCGTATTCTGGAAGCCCACCAAAACGTATCCCAGATGCCCTTAGTGGAGGCCAAGCTGCGTTTTATTCAAGCCTGGCAGGCCCTCCCCGAGTTTGGCTTATCCTACTACATTGTAAGGTAATCGCTGTTACACCAACGTCAAACTGCCGTGACGTGTTCACGGTCAGTGATTTGCAGGAAGTTCTTTGACTCCCTATTCTGGAAACATTCTCTATTTTTCCTCCACAGACCTTTTTTTTAAATTCTAGTCACTTCCATTGTGCTGTTTTTTCCTATAGCAGTAGCACTCAGTAGCTCCATTCCTGTAGTGAGACTCTCCATTACATCTATAGCTTCATACAGACCTCTCAGGTTTTGCCTGAAGTAACATATCACCAAGATTAAACCCTTATTGACATAAACCCACTAAAATGTAAGAAATGCTTGTGGTGTTGGTGTTCTCAGGTTTGCAAGATATTTGTTTACTCCAGCTCTTGCTCATTGGATTGATCAGATTTTATGATCAAATTTTTTGGATTTTTGATCAGATTTTATGATAATTTTTAGGACAAATTGGATCAGATTTTATAATAAAATGCTTTTTGCTGAGCATAATTTCTTCAGCATTTCATTAAGAAAATGGCAAACACGATCCCTTTGTTAAAGGGAATCTGGAAGAGCAGTCAGCACAAGAAAGGTCCTGTTGTGCTCACAGCAGTTTCCCTGGACATGTACCTTGAGTATGGCAGGGTTCTGATCTGAATTCTTTTCTCTTGACAAAGCACTGAAAAAAATGGAAAGTACTGACTCAACCATACTTGGAGGCACCTTCCTTAATTTGTGCTTAACAACTCTTGCAAGGCTACTTAGAAATCATCTGCAGTATAAATGGAAGCAGCTGGGAACCATTCTCTGGCACAGAGGCCAGCTGGCATAGAACAGCCCACATCTGCACTGTGAAACTCTCTGACTTCCCAAAACCCAGTAGCCTCACGTGAGCTACCAGATCGTGTTGCTCTTTGGATGTTCCAGGTCCTGAGCTGTACCTGGGAGTCATTTGAGAGAGCTCTGCTTGGTTGCAGCCAGAATTCTGCCTGGGACTCTTCTGGTAATTGAACAGAACACAAGTTCAGTGCCCAGGAATGTTCCCTGTCACTATTTAATTTAGTAACATAGATAGAGATGTTGTGCCCCATCTGTTGGCACTAATTCTGTTAAACAAATAAAACAAACCTAACACCTAAACTGTATTCTGTAGTGTGAGCAAAACATCTTGTGGTGAATTTCTGCAAACTGATGGGCAGTATCTCAGTGGGGGTGTTAAGTAAGGCACAAACTGTCATCCAGCTCACATCCTTTCCCTAAGGGCCAGCTTCATTTAAGGAGAGACAGTTCAGAAACAGGATCAAAAATATTGAAAATATTAACAGCAGGCAGATGAGATTCCTTCCAGGGTTCAGCATGAGAGGAGAGGAAGGCAGGTTCTTTACCAGAGTAACCTTTTTCTAGCTATTCCCAATTCAGAAATTTCTGTCCCCCAAAAGTTTTTATACTTTTGTATTTATTTTTCATCTCTAATCAGAAGAAAGTTGAAATGTTAAATGTCTCAATATTTCTGTAATGTGATTTATACTCAGAAATATGCATATGTTGCTAACAGTTGTTTTTAATAGTGATATATAATATTAAATATTAAATCTATTTTGATGTGCTTATCTAATTTAGGTGAATATAACTAGGGGAACATGTTTCAACAGTGTTGAAATGAAGCAAGGAAAATTATTGTTGACACTTTTCCAGTAAAAATATAATAAAATTCATGCATTTTGGCAGAACAGTATTTTTTAGCAGAAAACAATTAATTGGAAAGGTTTCAGCCAGATCTACCTGCCCAATTATTTTACAGCTTATACCATGGTTCACCAGCCTACCTTTTTGTTTTATAACAAATGCTGTTCTAAAGAAAGGTCCAAGTTCTCCTCAATCCCAGGTTGTTGTGACTTTTCCCATATTTTTTGCACTTTCAGAGGAGGGCAGGTGAAATGTTTCTCTAGACAGAAATCATCAAACCAGATCTGCTCAAAGGTTTGTTTTTTGGGGTTTTTTTTTTTACAGGTTTAAAGGAAGCAAGAAGGATGATGTGCTTGGGGTGTCCTATAACAGGCTGATACGAATAGATATAGCCACAGGAGATCCTATCACAACGTGGAGGTTCTCCAACATGAAGCAGTGGAACGTGAACTGGGAAATACGCCAGGTAAAACTGGAATGGCTCTCTGCATTCAGTCATTACATTTCAGACACTGGAGGATGCTTTCAGAAAATCTGAGTGAAGAGATTTTGAATGTGTTGTGACATGTTATTAAATAAGCTGTCTAAAATTTTTTCTTAATGGAGTCTGCAGTCAAAATTCAGAAACTAAAACATCTCCAGTTTAAAAGATTCCTACCAAGCTTATTCTTTTCAAGTTGCCCTTGATTGTGATGAGGTGAAATACAGAGACTCAAAGGTGAATTCCAGCGCATTATGTTTACTGCTCTGTCAGTAAAAATTTCATTTTACCTCTCTGTATAGTCGAGCTCATGCATCATCCTCTGAACTGTGGTGATTGGGTCTGTGTTACAGGCTGAGGATACAGGAACCCAGTTTGTCTGTCACATTGCAAACAGATTGCAGGGCCACAGTGCCAGCTCCTCCCTGCCAGTGTGGGGTCCTGAGAAAGCAGCTCCGTTGGGTGATTTATACCGGGGTGCTCCTGACCCTGATGAGGCTGCTCAGTGGGGCCAGCTGTTGCCCAGAAGTCCTATGGAGAGTTTGGGTTTGAAAGCTTGAAACCAGCTCTGTAAATTACAGATTTCTGTGGTGGAACTAGTGTGACTTGATGTAAATTCAAGCAGCCTGGAAACTGTTCCTGCTTATACAGTTTTCTACATCCATCTGCAGGAGCCAGGGGAGATCAGATACCATCCCTAATACTCTCCCACAGTACTCCTTAAGCCAGAGCCTGTAATGCTGAGGAAAGCTACTGGGTTTGGTTTAAATCCCTCTCAAAAAAGGCAAAATCTACAGGTAGCAACTAACCTCAGATTGCTGGATTTTAGAACTGACAGTACTTGGAAATCAAAGGCTGGCCCTCAAAAGCAGATTTAAGGTCAGCACATAACAATGTACAGTATGAAACATTATTGGTTAAGAGTACAAAGAGGCAGAAGTGCCATTCCTTCTCTTCTCCGTGTTCACTTAATACATCACTAGAAAAACAAGTTAGTTAAAAGCCTGGTTTTCTTGCCTGCCTGAACAAGCAACAAGATTTTGACCACAAGAGGGCCCTGCCATAGCAGAAAATTAAGCAACAAGCAGCCAAACACCCTCAACATCCAGCAGACACAGAAATTTTGGTTACCAGAGACAGGTACTGCTCTATCGCAGGATCTGTGATCCAGCTGTGCTCTCACACTTGCTCTTTTTTCCCAGATGCAGCTCATATCTACTCCTGATTTTGCCATATGTATTTTCTTTAGGTTGCAATCGAGTTTGATCAGAATGTATCTATTGCTTTCACATGTCTAAGCGCAGACTGCAAAATCATCCATGAGTATATTGGAGGCTACATCTTCTTATCAACCCGTTCCAAAGACCAGAATGAAACACTGGACGAAGATCTGTTCCATAAATTAACTGGAGGTCAGGAATGAGGTGAAGTAAACTCTCTTCCCTCTGCCTGCTTCTCCCCACAGCTAAGACCAGAGATTAATCAAAAATCTCTTTGATTGTTAATTGCTAATAAATCTTTTATAAGTCAATCCATCTTGTAATTATGACTGGACTGTTTACTGCTTTTGTTAAATATTGAAGCCAGGGTCACTGGATGCAGTATGGCAACTCCATCATCAGCACTTGGAAAATTAAATTGTTTTCCTTTTGTACAGCTAGATGTTTTTAAATAAACAGTGTCTAGCCACTGGGCATTTTTGAATCTAGTATTGTTAATTGCAACAATCTGTTTAAGCATCCAGAACAAGTAACTTGAGGATATTGCAAATTTTCTTCTGTTACAGCCATGCAATTTCCACTGTGGAACTGTCCGTTGTTAAAAGGCCAGCATTTAACAGAACTGAAGCTGAATAAATACAGATTTTAAAGCTACATGACTTGTCTAATACTTGCACTGAGAACAGCAAACATTCCAGCAGTGTTCCAGAGCCCTGTAGACTGAGCTATCACAGCCCAGCTACTGATTACCCAATTGGTCAAAAATGTAGCACCTGTGTCTACCTTCATCCACTTAAAGTAGTTCCCTTAAAGCCAGAGGAGCTACCAGACACCTAAAACATAACATTAATCTTGGCAAAACTGGACGGAAAAGGATGATCTTTTGAAGAACTTGGTTAATTTCCAGGTTGTAAAAAATGCTTTAGGTACTATTTTAAATTATTTGCTTGTTAAAAAGGCCTCATGAGTGTAGCCCTTTCTATTTTCTGTCCCTGTTAACTTTGTTTCACTGTGATGTCTACCTCTGAACTAAACTTGTCCCTAAGTTGAGTAAGGAGCTGAAATGCCTGTAGAAATGATCTTACTCATATATGTAATGCAGAATACCAAGAGATTACTCGGTGATAGCGTGCCTGAAGAACCAACTCTGTAGCAGGCAGCTCTGCCTGCTGGAAGGAGCCACACACATCCACCGAGTTGAAAGAAATTTGGTCAGTAAAGCAAGGAGAGAATGAAGCCAAGAGGATTTGTGCAACTGCTGGACAAACCAAAACTGCTTTTACATATCTAAGAAACACAATGGACAGGTGTTGTCATGTCACCAAGAGACGCTGCAGAAATCACCACATCGTTCCTAACTGTCACTGGGACCGATTCTTCTGTCGTGTCCTCTGCTCTCCTCCCGTGCCTGTCAGTAGGCTGCAGTGGAACTGCTCCCAGTTTATGCCATTTTAAACAAACTACAGCTTTACATTTTGCAAAAGAAGGAACCGATACAGCCTGCTCCCCAGCCCTCTGCACTTCCTTCTCTTCAGCACTTTTCATACAGGGGCTGAGGAACCATCCAGTTTTCCTTCAGTAAAGAAGAGCAGACTGAGAGGGGATCTGATCAATGTCTATAAACATCTCAAATGTGGGGGCCAAGTGGATGGGGCCGGGCTGTTTTCGTGGTGCGCAGTGACAGGACAAGGGGCAATGGGCACAAACTGGAACACCAGAAGTTCCACACAAACTTAAGGAAAAACTTATTTACTGTGAGGGTGCCAGAGGCCTGGGACAGGCTGCCCAGGGAGGGTGTGGAGTCTCCATCTCTGGAGATGTTCAAAACCTGCCTGGTCGCTTTCCTGTGCAACCTGCTCTAGGTGACCCTGCTTTGGCAGGGGGGTTGGACTGGATGATCTCCTGAGGTCCCTTCCAACCCCACCATTCTGTGAGTCTTTGACTTACCCACTTCACACTTGCTTCACACAGGCCGAATATTTTCCTCACAGTGTGAGAACCACTGACAATGGATAGTTCCAAGTCCAAACACTTGCAATATTTAAACCTACCCAAGGGTGCTGTGGGAGAGGTGAATGCACATTTTAGAGCCAGCACTTCTCCCCCTGACAGCCCTCTTCCAGGCTCTGCCTCCACTTTGGCTACTGAGTTGCAGCCAGGCTTGTGACAGTGCCTGTGTTAGAGCCCATCCTTTGACTCCTGTCAGTTGTTTGTCTGGAGGCCCAGCCCTGTGCTTGCCACTCTGAGCAGAGCTCCTCGCAGGACTGCTGGAAGGAAGCCCTGTAGCTGCCACCTGGTGTCTAAATGATCTGAGCACACGAATGCAGAGATGCAGGAACTCTGAATGTAGTTCTCATTAGCAGACTGGACGGCTCATTTCAGGGCTAAGTAAACATGCCGACTTGCGTGTTGTCTCCACCGGGATTTCAGAGAAACTATCAAATATTTCCATTTTCTTACCTGCCCCTCCCTCAATCTCACTCCATGTGTCACTGCCTTTTGAGTACAGACTTCCTGCTGCTCTGCAAGGAGGAGCTGTGCCAGCTCATCCCAGCTGGCTGTAACCCCCACCCTTGTCACTTCAGCTTTAAGTGATGACCCCTTGCTACCATCCTGTCTCCATGTTTCTTCAGATCATCAGCTCTCTTTCTCCTTGCTCCACTCACCTGGCAAGGCTTTTCCATGACAGGTAAGGAACACTTAGGACAGCAGTCTAGTTTAATCCAGCTGCCTTCAGTGCTGCATGGGGGAAGTGACTGTAGCTCTGCTTCCTATAAGCAGCCCCTGGAGAGGTCGGAGCGGGAAGCATGACCCAGGGCACTCCTGCACCTCCATAATTCCAGGCTGGATATGGTCAGCAGCTCCTGAGAACAGACCTGCACCAGCCCAGCTGAGGGCCAGCCACAGCATTGAGTCACCTTTCATCCTGCCCCACATCACCAAGCGTGTCCCAGCCCGGCTCCAGACATCCCTTAGTACACGCAGGGTACCACACCCTCCCCTGCTCACACAATAACCTGATGGATCTTGGCTTCCACTTATTCCTACCACCTGATTTATACACAGGGTTGAAGAGCCTCAGTGGTCTGTAGTAACCACGTTATGAATTGCACGGTGCCAGATGTGTGAGATGTTATACAGGGAGAGTGAAAGCAGGGCAAGGGCGTCTGCCCTGGAATTTCGCAATGCAGAGACAAAATCCTGGACAGGAATGTTGCTTAGATGAAAACAAAACCCTTTAGGAAACTAATACCTCGGCTCAGCTGCAACCCTGTTCTGTATATCATGCTTAATTAAACCCAAGTCAGGTCAGGGTAAAACACTACCGATGTCAGATGGCTGCTGTCTGTTCTTACTCACAACAAATTCCACAGGGGATTTCACTGCTGCCTTCAGCTTGCATTACTGCAGCGGACAACACACACACCCCATAGTTTTGTGAAACCTCAGGCTAAAGAATCCTGCTCTTGCGTTCTCTGCAGGAAAATGTCTTGCTTGTGCTTGCTCTGTGAACGGACCTGCAAAATTCTTCTTTTCTTTTGTTGGCCTTAAAAGCCATTCTCTAGATTTTTTCAGGATAGTTTCACTCTTAACCATCACTTGAATCACAGCCAGTGACAAACATTCATCTCTTAAACTTTACAGCCTGGTACCATCCTCTCCTTCTCCTGCTCTCCCCGTGCTCCCCTTATCTTGGTGTCACTAAGGAATGCAGGGCTCATCCCTAACATTCCTGCAGGCAGAGGGGTTTTGTGCAGCACTGAATCAGCCCCAGGGAGGGGGCGTCTGGTTCAGCTCTTTGTGCATCATCCATGTGAAAAGGCTGACAGAAATGCCTGCCTGCCTTCACTTAAACATTCCTCCTCCTCCCCACCCCTTCCCCTCGTTGCCACTGAAACTCTTAGAAAAGTAGGAAAAAAAGAGAAGAATAACCTAAAGAAAAAAAGCAACATGAGAACAGGCCAAAGTGACTCACAAAGGGGAAAACCTCTGCCTCTTACCAGATGACTTCAAAGAAATTGGTGAGAGGACTGCTGTCTGCCCTGGGAAACCCTTACCAATACCTGGGCAGCCTTTTGAGATCCAGTACCATAGCAATAATATTCCAGATTATTAGAGTTTGCGGCTAGGCAAAGAGCTGGGAAAATGCCATGCCTGCCTCAAAAACTGGGCATCCAAAAAGCAGAAACAAAGGTGGAAAATAAAAATATCAAAAAGCTTATTTTCCAAAGGTGCTCTGCTTCTTGCAATAAATTCTCCATATCACTCAGAAATTAATCACCTCTGGGCAAAGACTCCATTTCCATTTCCCTTCCACCCTCACCTTCACCTCCACCTTCCCTGAAATGAGTGGCCCACTTGCTAACTCAGGGCTGGGCTGCTTTTCCGATCTTACAAGGCTGCTTGTCTCATGCTCCAAAATTAAGTCAGTAACTCTGAACACATTAAAAGTAAGGCAGCTCACCGTGTTTCATGAAGTAGGGTTTTTTTTAAGATACTAAAAACAATAAAATTTATCAGGCATTGTAATGGGTTGCCCAGGGCAGTGGTGGTATTTAAGAGTATTTACATACCCCCCGGAGGGACTGAAGAGTCCTGTAGACAATAGTGCTGAGGGACATGGTTTAGTCAAGGACTTGTCAGTGTGAGGTTAATGATTGGACTTGATGATCTTAAAGGTCTTTCCCAATCTAGGAAATTCTGTGGTTCTGTGAAAACAATCAATGAAAATTCACTGTCTGTAAATACAGTGCTAATGGCAGCAAACACGGGTACTTAATTGCCCAAGGGAAAGCCAGGCCACCTACCCGCTCCCCAGCTTCTCAAAGAGGAGCTCTACAAAGCCAAAGTGAAAGCAGGGTTTCCACTGGCCTGGCTGGGCTCGACTTTCCTCGTACTATACCAAATTCTTCAGGTTTTTTTAACCTGCCCCAGTTTGTCCTCTGAACCTAACAGCGTGCAGATGTCTGAAGCGACCTGCCAGGGTGCACGTGTCCGGCCCACACGCTGCCCTCAGCCCAGGCCTGCGAGCTGCTCCACCAGCGTTACTCTGTGGGATGAGCCTCTCACTTAGGAAATGATCTGTCTCGCCTTTGAGCCACTCCACTCCACACAGGAACAATATGTACATCTCCCCCAGCCTCCAAGGGAACTGCAAGGGCTCCACAAAGTCCTACTAAAAGACAGTATCTCATTCTGTGGATGTTCTGGTGTTTTTCAAGGCTCTCTCCCCAGGCAGATAATAAGTGACATGGTTAACAGATAAGGTCTGCGTACATGGAGACTCAATCCTGCGCACACGCAGACTCAATGTTTTGGGGAAAGCAAGACCTTCACCTGCACTTTAGCACCAAAGTGTACAGGTCTGCCTTGCCTTCATGTCATGGATCTGTTTTGTTGTCCTGGCAAATGAAAAGCACTGAACTACTGTTCTCTCTGGAAAGTTTAATTATTCATTGTCTTACAGTAGCAACTGAACAGCCACTCTTTTGCTTTTACTTTGGAACCATCTCTATCAATTCACCCTTTTCCAGTTCCTGGCTTTACTCTCAGCTCTTGACCAGCCTAATTAATATTTGAATTGTGGGAATGCTGAGAAACCCAGCTCAGGGCAGGTCCCTTAGAGGGAGATGTTTTACATTGTCAGTCTTACTTATCCAACAAAGGAGGAGAGGAGGAGCAGGAAGGGAATTCTCCCAAGCCATGTGGTATGGCAGATGCAGAACAGAGAACACAACCCACTCACAGTGGGAATGGCAGAGGCCTCCCGAGTCCATCACGCGCCACAGGCCCTCTCCATCAGCAGAGAGAATTCTTCTCTGTGGGAGCAGCATAAGACCTTCACTTTCGACGTTTCCCAAGGGCCTCTTTAGAAGCTATTTGTACTGCGTGAACATTTCCAGGACTTACTCCCAAATGCAAGAGACTTGGAGAGAAATATAAACACTTGGAAGCCTTTTCTTGGCACCTACTGAGCGACCAAAGCCCATGTCAGCAGACCGAGCCTTAGCTTTACATCATCGTGACCTGTCAGCAAAGAAACACAGTAATTCCTCTCCCTTCCCCCCTGTCAGTGGGAGGCATGAGAGCTGGGACTACAGACACTGATCTTTTCCCTTTACCCTTCTCTGCTTAGACAAAGGCAGACAGAGCAGCCCTGCCTGAGTGTTGGGAAGTAAGAGGCCTCCCACCCACCTCCTGCTAGGGCCAAGGGAGCGGGGAGAGCTGCCTGGAGCCACCCCCTCCCCAGGCAGGGGAGAGCTGGATGCGGGGGAGCCAGCCTGGAACAAACCTCGCCTGCGCTTGTGGGCAGAGCCGTGAGCAGGGAAAGCCGGGAAGAGAGAAGAGACATTTCACGCTCTCGGCTGAGTCACCGAAGTGTATAAAATCAAGGCCAGGCAATCGGGGCCACGCAGAGCCGAGCCACCCAGGCACCAACACTTCTGGACAGGTACGTGCAAGCGGATGCGGTTTGGAGCCAGGGACTAAGATTAAATCTAAGATTGGGATCCAACAATTCAATTCCTCCCACCCTCTCCCTGCCATGTGCTGGGAATCCAGCAGCTCTGGTGACCAGGAAGCACTGAGGCTGCTCAGCTCTTGCCCAGTTACCAATGACAAAAAGGACACAGGCAACCAGATGATCCTATTTTGCTGGTCCCTACTTAAAACCTGGGATGGCAGCAACAGATGATGGTCTGGGCAACACCTGGCACCATTCAGGGAACGGTAAGTAGGTGTTAAGGTTTAGGGTAAGTCTGAGACACTTCATACTACCTGGGGCTTCAGTCACCCCCCACTCTGTGATATATTTTTGGATGAAGAATGATCATTACGATATCTGGCAGCACAAAAGACAGCTCAGGAAGTAAAGCACCGGTTTCAGGCTGTACTTAATTCCCTCCTCTGACACAGATCACCTGCACAGCCTTGGACAAGTAATTTAGGAATCCTTTCCTTCTTTTTCTTTCTTTTCTTTCTTTCTTTCTTTCTTTCTTTCTTTCTTTCTTTCTTTCTTTCTTTCTTTCTTTCTTTCCTTCTTTCCTTCTTTCCTTCTTTCCTTCTTTCTTTCCTTCTTTCCTTCTTTCCTTCTTTCTTTCCTTCTTTCTTTCCTTCTTTCTTTCCTTCTTTCTTTCCTTCTTTCTTTCCTTCTTTCTTTCCTTCTTTCTTTCCTTCTTTCCTTCTTTCCTTTTTCTTTCCTTTTTCTTTCTTTCCTTTATTTTCTTTTTTCTTCTTTCCTTTTCTTAACTTCTTTTCTTTTTTTCTCCTTTCCTTTCCTTTCCTTTCCTTTCCTTTCCTTTCCTTTCCTTTCCTTTCCTTTCCTTTCCTTTCCTTTCCTTTCCTTTCCTTTCCTTTCCTTTCCTTTCCTTTCCTTTCCTTTCCTTTCCTTTCCTTTCCTTTCCTTTCCTTTCCCTTCCCTTTCCTTTCCTTCCCTTCCCTTCCCTTCCCTTCCCTTCCCTTCCCTTCCCTTCCTTCCCTTTCCTACAAGGACAAAGCTGGGGTGGGGCAATGAGGGAGCACAGAGGGAACTGGAAGACTGAATAACATGCTTCTTGGTACGCAGACCTTTGGAGCCCTGATCCAGGAGCACACTCTCCATTTCGAACCACTTGGAATCAGCGTGGTTCGGGAGCTGCATTTTCAGCACACCCCTTCCCCAGCAGCCGGGGTGTGCAGCGTGTCTGTGGCACTCACCTGCCGCAGGGCCCCAGCCCTGCCACTGCCCGCTCAGGAGCAGAGGAGGAGGGCGAGTCTCAAAGTGCAGCTCTCCTGCAGCTTCTCCAGTACAGCACCAACTGGGATTTTTTACACTGGAGCAGCAGAGGCATCCCTTGTAACCCTGTACTGCAGAGCGGCAGCCGAGCAGGGGGCCAGGGAGCCCACCCTGCTGCTGTTCTGGGTGCCAGCCTGGTTCTCAGGGGGCTGCTGTGGGAACCAGACACCAGCTACAACTTGGTTGCTTTCTGCAGGAAAAACTGTAGGTACAGTCAGACTAAAATCGCATGATACTTCTGTCCCCAAGGGTTCATGTGTAGTTAGGCTTAATTACAGAAGAGACATTAATTATCACTTCGTTGTCTGAATGCAATAGGAAAGGACTTACAAATGTTTCACTTTTAAATAGCTTGTAGCTGCCTGGAGGGATTTTAATTTAGCTCTTAATGTTGATGTTTTGTTTTCCCTTCCCTGAAACAAAACACAAACAGATCTTGCAAGTTAATTGCAAGCCACCTAGGAAAAGGATGTTTTCACACTTGCTCATCCTCTCTGTGCTGGTGGGGAACGCAGCGTCGGGCCCGGTGAGCAGAGCAGAGCTGGCAGCATCCAAGGATGTCACCACCTTTTTCCAGCTGGCTCAGGAAGACTCTTGGGAGAACGTTAATCTCACCAGCATGTCCTGTGAAGATCAGAAGAACAGGACCTGGATCACCCTGCAGCTGACCAACAGCAGCCTGACAGCTTTCCCTGTCTGCCTTCCAGAGTCCCTGGAGACCTTGGATCTCAGCAACAACCTCTTAGAAGAGGTGAACAGCACAGAAATAGCAAACCTCCCACAGCTGCGCATCCTCTCGCTGAGGCACAACCATCTCCAGGCAGTAAGATGTGGACCTGGAGCCCTCAGCAGTCTCCTCTCCCTGGATTTAAGCTTTAATAAGCTGTCATCTGTGCCATCGTGCCACAGCTCTGCCCTGCCTAACTTGAGGTGGTTGTCCCTGGCTGGAAATCCACTGATTGAAATCCAGCCACTGGCTTTTTCCTGTTACCCTCAGCTCCAGTTCCTGAACCTCTCTGCAACGCTGCTCGGGCAGGACGGCAGCACAGGAATTAGGGAGTCTGCTTTTGCCATCAGCACATCTCCCAGTGGGGCCACGAACAGGCCTGGAAACACCATCAACGTGCTTGATCTGAGTGGGACCTTTCTTGAGAAAAGTAAGTTTCTGGATTTCCCACTGTAAACAGGGGGCTTGGTCAGGCTGGGGAGAGCAGGAGCCTTGCTGGGACGCTGGCTCCCATCCTGGCTGGGCTCGGGGTGGAGGGGGAACACCCTTCCCTGAAAGCTGCAAAGAGCTGGTCCAAGCGTGCAAGGCACTCTCCAGCTGGGCACACAGCTGCTGGGGGAAACCCTCATGCAAACCAGCCTCCCAAGGAAGGGCAGAGGCCAGGCACCACCAAACAGGACCATTTGTCCCACTCTAGTCCCCCACCTCCATCATAATTCCACTGTCTGCTATGTACAGTCATCCTGCTGCCATCCCTGAGATTAGTTTTGGGGCACACAGGAGGAAATTAATTTCTCTTTCCAGACACAGTGCTGAAACCTTTCTGTGTCTGTCCCCACAGTTCCACTGCTTTATACCGCTGTGTTCAAGTGGCACAGAGAAGCTTTTTGTGCCGACGGCAGCCAGCCAAATAGTTCTGCACAGGGAGACAATCCCTGCCCTCAGCAATTTACAGCATGATTTTTTTCTTTTACCTGCCTCCCCTGCCAGCCTCGGTTTATAACTGAGGTGCTGAAGCAGAGAGATGGACGGTAGGTGCCTTGCCCAGCTGCTCTCAACCTCAGGCAGAGCCAGGACATGCTCCCCATTTCCCTGCACACCACAGGGTCTCAGCCACAGCAGAACCCTTCCTGGCCTAACTATAAGGGCCACCTGAAGTGTTTTTTTGTCTCAATTCCTATCAGTTCTATTCATATAAAATGATTCTCATCTCCCAGGGGTCCTGTGGGGCTTCTTTGGTGGGTTATTTAATGCTTATTTATTAACTCTGTGGGTAATTTAATGCTGACACAAGAACCACAGCATGGTTGCAGAGGTTCCCTGGAACAGTGTCCTCCTTCCATCAGCACCCAACAGTGGCCCTTGTCACGGAGAGAGTGGAAGAAAGAGAAGCAGCACAGAGGGATTTTTTCTGTGTGTGTGTGCGCCTTGTTTCCAGTAACCATCTCAAGTCACATTTAACAGATATGCCAGCAAAATTCTTCTGAGAATTTGCCTCATCCTTCCTGTGGTAGAGAGTTGCACATTTCAGTGGTGGGATGGAAACTTTGGCACTTTGTGTAACACGTGCTCTTTCAGTTTCATGTCTCTCAGCTCTTTTTTCCCTGCTAGGAGAAATAAGTTATTTGCTTTTCTCACACCATTCAGGACTTTGTAAACCTCTTTAATCTCCCCTCATCCATCACTTCTCCAGGCAGAGAAATCCTTGTTCATTTGATCTCACCTAGTAGGAAAGCTATTCTGTATCATCGCTCATCAGCTTTATTGCCTTTTTGTCTCCCCTTCCTTTCCTCTGCCCTACGGTAGCACAACCAGGCCTGCAGGTGACATTACAAAAATGTGATTGCACGGGTGTCTATACACTGGCAAATTTATTTTGTTCTATTCCTTTCCCAAAGGGAATAGCTGCAGAAGACCATGGAGATATTTTATATCTCTCTGAATTAAAAACTTATTTTTTTTTAGGCAGAAATCCAAAGGAATGCTCTGTTTAGGCAACAGGTATAAATCTTTTTTTCTGCTTCAGTTCAACCAGAGTGGACCAGAGACTTGCCCAACCTCAGATCACTTCACCTGACAAAGATGTCACAATTAAGAAGCCTCGATACTGACTTCTTCAAGTCCATGCCTGATCTCAGAGAGCTGAACTGTCGAGACTCCCACTCACTGTGTTTTGTGAGGACAGAGATGTTTGACAGTGCTCCTCATCTGAGCCGTCTCTCGTTTGAGAAGTGAGTTATTTTTTGTCTTCCTCGTGTAATGTTGCCTTTGCCTCGCAGCACTGTGGTGCCTGGAAGCTGATTTTTATGTGAAGTTTGCTTGTTATCAAATATTTAGGAAGGAGGAATGTGCTTGCATGCTATGGAGAAACACGCTGTCTTATACTCAAATATGCCATGTAAAGCCTGTGGTATAGGCCTGATGGAGCAGAAGAGCTGATACAGCCCCAAGAAATGGCAGGAACCCAAAGAGGTGGCATGAAGCTACCACCAGCACAGTTACTAGTTGTTTGAGATTGTATCCATCATGCTCCCACTTGTCTGCCTTAACTCCCAGTCCACTGGATGATCATAGAATCACAGAATGGTTAGATTGGAAGGGACCTTAAAGATCATCCAGTTCCAACCCCCCTGCCATCAGCAGGGACACCTTCCACTAGACCAGGTTGCTCAAAGCCTCATCCAGCCTGGCCTTCAACACTTACAGGAAGGAGCAGCCACAGCTTCCTTGGGCAACCTGTTCCAGTGTCTCACCACCCTCACAGTGAAGAATTTCTTCCTAATATCTAATCTAAACCTGCCCTCTTTCAGTTTAAAGCCATTTCCCCTTGTTTTGTCATTAACTGCCCTTATGAAAAGTCCCTTCCCAGCTTTCTTGTAGCCCCTTCAGGTACTGGGAGGCCGCTATAAGATCTCCCCGGAAAGATCTTCAAGACTGTCAAGCTTCGCATAGATCCAGTGCAGCTCACTTGTGATAACAGCCCATGCTTCCCAAGTCTATGATGGCAATGTGTCACCAGAGGAGAAGCGGGTCACTGAGGATTCCTTGCTCTAAAAAGGATGAAAGCTGAGAGTTTCCCAAAATCTGCACCTTGGAAGCAAGTCAAAAATCCTGTCCCTCTTTCAATGCGAGACATCAGCATTAGTAAGAGCAGCGGTTTAGTCCTTATTCTAGAGGTAACAACACATCAGTGTGACTTAATTGGTATGGCACACTCCTTCTGAAATACTAAGGGAAACAGAAGTCTGAAGGTGATTTATCAAAATAAGGGTAGGTAAACTGCACACAGAACAGTCAGCATACAGGAGAAGATTTTGAGAGCACCTTAAAAGATTCCTATAACATAAACCCAGATAATAAGCATGTTTGAAAACAAATACTAGAGCACTTGGCTGTGCTCTAGGAAACAGTTTCAGGAAAATAAACCCATTTAAGAAAAAAAATCAAGAGTCCATCCCCCAACTAGATTGCCACACTGAATTTACACAGCACTTTACAATACCTGCAGGAATACCAGTTGAAAGTGCTAAAAAATCATGACCCAAATTAAAAAAAAAAAAACAAAGGAGCAGCAGTTAAAGTCATAAGAGAGCATCTTCTGAGCACTTAGACTGCAAGGAGGTCACATTATCACCCTCTTTCTGCAAATAGAATTTTAACAATAAAGGCAAGCAGGGTCTTCCTGTATTAGTCATTTGACTTTAGTAGGTGAGAGTCTATAGTCTGAGAGAGACAATTAACATGAAGAGGATGATTGGCATAGAGAAATTCAAGCCCTTACAAGCAGACTGAGAAAGAAGCTAAAGAAATGGTTTAGTATAAAAGAAAAGCCTAGCTGAACCCATGATGGCAGTGAGGAGAGTCTTTCACAGAAGAGCTTTGCCAAAGGCTTGGTCCTTTCCCTTCCAGCTGCCTTTTCTAAAGGTGTTAATCCCCCTCTGCTGCTTTTGTTATGCTGTGCAAACTGTGCGGATTAGAAGGATGGGCAGGTGTTAGCTTGGACTTTAAAGTGCAGAATGGTGGTGTTGGTAACTGGCTGCCTCTAAGGGAACTGGGAATATTGCTTTGTGTCTTCTACACTCCGAGATACTAAGCACACTCCAGCCCCTTGGGAGGTAGCTCAGTGCTTGCTAATTATTGCATTTGTCATCTTGTAGCTGTAACCTGAGTTCCTTTAATCCTTGGAATATCAATTCATCAGAGAGCATCATCATCAACTTGTACGGAAACCCTCTGTTATGCAACTGCCAGCTCTCCTGGCTTCTCTCCAAGCCCAAGAAAGTTGTGCTGCAAAAGTAAGTGAGTTCAGGGAGATAAAGTAATGCTCTTTAGACACAACCTAAATGTGCAAGTTATTTGGGGACCAAACATTCACTATCGTCTAAGTTACTCAAATTCCTTCCCTTCCACAAGAGGCAGAAATGCAAAATAAAGTCCCTTTCAGGGACAAAGCATGGCTGAATTATACTTGAATGTGGACAAACGTGACGGGCACGTGTAGAAAAGTATAGCATTAGTAGCTGTGGATTCTGTTTTAAGGTGAGAATAGATTATTTTCTCTGTATTTCACTTCTCATTTCTCTGTTAGCTGGAGATAAAAAATTAGCTGGCTTGGTGGCCTCGATGGGCCAGCACTGGGAGCAGGAACTAGAAGACTTGGCAAGAACTTTATACTTCCTCCTTGCTCTTGCACTCCCAAAGCCTTCATCAGCACTGGCAGTCAACAAAACCCCTGGCAAATAGCACCAGTTGTCACCTATTGTTTTCATGCTCTCCTACAGTTTTACACTAATTACAATAAGCTGTAGTTAAAAGAAGTACTTTGCATATGTATGTATGTATGATCTCTCTTCTTTTTTAAAGGCCACCGAGAAGATTTGTTATCTGTAGCTGAGAGAGCAGGGAAGTAGATTGTTAAAATTAGATTGTTTCTCATCAGGATGGGTTTAGCGTTGCATTCTTTACAAAAACAAATGTCTGAGTAAAGAAAGAACTCGAGCTTAGTCATTTAAAAGCACATCCCGTGTCATCACAGCTCCAGCTGCACAAACCAGCTGGCTTAAGGACCTTGGGGACCCTGTTACATCTCTGCATGCATTCCCCTCTTAGCGTGGCATTAAAGTCTGACCCTTTAGACAAGTTGCCTTGAACCCTGACACAGTCCTTGTACCAAAGGATGCTTCCTCAGGCAGGAGATACTGCTGCACCTTACAAAATGAGAAACCCAGTCAGCTAAGATCCCAGTGCTGGAGAAAGCCATCTGCCAAGCACAGGACTGTTGTTAAGACAAAGGAGCTTTGTTCCAGCTTTCATGTCTTCTTTAATATAAAGACTGTTTTGGGACAGCAGGTTGTCAGTTCCAAACCAAGCAGCCTTACAGGAGCCTGTCATATTCTTATGGAGCTTGTCTAACTTGTCCCCTCCCTCTGCAGGGCTGGGGAGACTTTTTGCAACACATCCCAGGAAGCCTGGGACAGACCTTCGACATCTTTTTCACTGCTAGAGCTCTACGATAAATGCCAGACTGAGAGAAACGTTATGCTGCTTGATTCAGACACATCCTCTCCCAAACATGATGCTTTCAACCTTACCAGTTATGATGCCACTCCTGTGGTAACTACAACAGATTCTGATCTCCTAACCAGAGACACCAGCTCCCTCATTCAGAGGAATGTAATGAGCTCAACGGCAGCCAACCCAACTGAGTCAGCACCCACAAAGCCCAACAGTTCCTCCCGTGAGGAGGAGGCAGTTTCTGAATCCACGAGTCATCCCCCTTCCTTCATGTCCCTAACTACCTCCCCAGGTTTTCTCAGAGGGCTCTATAGTCAGTCCTCAGGTTATGGCTCCACAACTCAAACTGAAACCGATCAGCTAAAGAGAGAGCTCAGAACAACCGACGCAACCTTTCCCCAGGAAGGCCCATTCCACCAGCCCACTCGTGGTTATTCTACCAGAGCAACAGGAATCCCTGATGCCACTGACCATTACAGCCGCTCCTCTGCCACCCCCATGGAAGAGGCTACACCACCAATGAGCCTACCACAGGTGAACTCCACAAGGACCAGTGCTCAGTCAGAGCCTGCATCCACCAGGTCACTGATACACTATGTAGATGACTACGATTACGACGATCACTCGATGGAAAGCCCAGTGCAACCGGCATACACCTCCTGTGACTACAACCCTTGCAGACACCTTCAGAAGCCATGTAGTGAGCTTCAGAGTGCCTCCCAATGTTTATGTCCTGGCATGTCGAGGGAAGATGAGGTTCCCGATCCACCGAGGCTCAGAGAGGTGTCTGAAGTGACAGACAGCTCTGCACAAATACGTTGGTGCGCCCCAAATTCGGTTGTTCACACCTATGAGCTGATGCTTCATGCCCAAGGCAACGAGGACAGACAGTTTGTCCTGGACAATATTTATTCCACAGCAAGGCAGTACACTCTGTATAATCTCTTACCATACACCACTTACCACATCTGCGTGTCTGCTTCGAACAAAGCAGGGTCAAGCCAGGCTCGAAGTCAGGAAAGTCCAGGTAATTCATGCACCAAATTTAAAACAAAGCCCAGCTACAAGTCTGTCTTTGCTGCTCTGTGTGCAGCGAGCGGGCTCTTCCTCATTTCCACAGTCATTTTGTCTGTATGTCTGTGTAAGGCATGCAAAAAGCCTCAGAGTGAGCAATATGGTACACACTTGGTCTCTTATAAGAACCCGGCATTTGATTATCCGTTAAAACTACAAACCACTACTTAGCTCTAGGTGACTGTTCCACACATTCAAAGCTCACTGCCTCTGTCACCTCGGTATGTTTGCCTGAGACTCCCAAAATGTCCTTCTGCAAAACTATGAAACATCAGACTTTGTAGCCCTTATGTTTTGAAGGGAGAGAAAAACACATATATATAAAAAAAATAATAATAATGAAGGTAGCCAAACAGAAAAAAGCCTTTGGATTCTTGTTCACGTGCAGCAGACCTGGACGCTAACCTTGAAAAGTTGTTTTTATAATCACCTACAAATACACTAGTGTACATTTCCCACAGTGAGAGGCTGCCTTGCCAGCTATCTGCCTCCAGTATCCCTCATGGATATGTCCTGCTGAGAGCCATGATCCAAGATGCATCTAGCTAAGCAGGATAGACACTGCTTTTATTCACCTAAGTGAAGCTGGGTTTGCAATTTCTTCTAATGTCTATATAAAGGTAATAGCCAAAAAGAGAATATTAGGGGAAGGAGTGAGAGAAGGGTCTCCTTGGGCTCAGTGGCACGGTGCTGTGCAGATCTAACTCCAGTAACTCCAGTTACTCAGCACAACTTCAGAGCAGGGAAAAGAAACATGAAGATTAATTGTACAAAAGGAGCACAAAACACTGCGGGACCAGGATCCTCAGGGCAGGGATAACTGTTTTGTTCTGACTGTGCATGATTTCCACAACTGAGGCTCCCAAGTGAGTGCTACAGCAATTCCCATTTCCAGGCAGTGAGGAGTGTGCAGTACACAGTAACCCATGGAAGAGGGGGAGCCTGTTAGCATTTGCTTCACAATCAGTTTGAAGCAGAGATGATTGCTCAGTCCCATCTACAGATCTAGCAGGCTGCTGATTTACCTCACACAGAGGCAGAGAGCCAAGCAATGAAACCATTGAACGTGTATGTTGCTGAGACCTGAAAAACTGAAATCCCATCCACTAGCAGCAGTTACACAGACATTTCTCAGTAGCACTTTGGAGTGCTCATTTCTGCTATAAAATAATAACAGATGCTGAGAATCCCAGTTTTTCAGCAGCTTTGAGCTTGCCATTAGAATTCAAAGAGATGTTTTTGTAAGAGGAGGCGGCATTTGTCCCAAATACTTCCCATGCAGAGAACCACAGGTTTATGTTCCAGTAGCTGCATGTTTCTGCTGCTATATACTGATGTATAGATATAATATGTAAAATCCCCCCAGGACTCGGAGAATGAAAGGTGTTATACAGTGTAAAAGAGTCTCTTATATTTTTTTTAATGCTTCCAATGTTAATGAAAATAAAAGCTGCAGAGTTGAATTCTTGGGTTTTTTTGTTAAAGACTTAGATCCTTGTGTTGTTTTTACCAGCTACAAAGTTTAGCCTGAGAAACTGACTCAGATATTGTTGTTTTGGAACAAACTTGCAGCATATAGTAAAGTAATGTTTTTATTATGGTGAATTTGTGTTGTCTGATGTCATATGAGCTTCCATTTTATATGTGCATAAGGTGGCCTGGGACATCCTCACCACTATGGGCTTGCAATCCTTTCCTGCAGGTTCATCTCTTCCCCTGCACCAGTGCTGGGAATGACACTGTCACTGCACAGATGCTCACTGCAGATTCCCCCTGTGCCCGTCCTCAGCCCCATGACTCAAACTCACAACAGAGGTGAACTGCAAATGAGAAAGCTGGGATGGTGCCACCTTTCACTTTGCAAATCTCTTTTACTTTCACATCCTGGTAATTCAGAACTTTCTTAGTTTTTCATACTTCTTTCTGGCCTGTTTTTTCTTGCATTTTCTGGAAGGTCTAGTGAACAGGCAGAGATGATACTTTGGCTTCATTT